CCTAAACCCTAAACCCTAACCCTCGGATCTTCCCCCAAAAAACCCAAAGCGTACACTGTGGACCAAACCCCGATATCCTACAAACTCTAACACCTTAAGGTTGAAATGACCCTTAAAAGCAGGGGCCCTATACCCTTATACTATGAATCCCTATATTATGAACCTTAGATCCTTTTAGTAAAAGCTTATGGGTTTCGGCTTTCGCTATGACTGCTTGCTTTGCGGGCTCGGGTTTGGGGTTCGAGGTTGCTGGTTGAGGTTTGTGTGGGATCTCGGTTACACGTCTGATCCGGAGCTGCAATGTCAAGCAGCTGTAATACTCCACATGACCCTGGGACCTTGAGGCAAAATCTGAGCAGCATTAGCATCTAATTTCCTTATTCCCTGCTCCAACTTTTTGGAAGATTGTGATGTCAAAACCCTAAACCCTAGAATGCGAACAACAACATGCATTGCAGTCGCGCAGCAGGTGATCTTGTACTGGCCGGATGTCCCGAAGCTCCTCCTGAAATAGATGTTGCATTTATGGCTCAAGGCTCTTTTACAGAAGAGGGGTTTGCGGGCCTGCGTTTGTGCATACCGCGAGTTTCAACCGTGGTTCCCATGTTTCTAGTCTGTTTGAGCGCGAATACTGTTCTGAACATTCACTGGGTGTTGTTTGGTGCACGCTCGAGTCGTTTAAACGTGTGATTCTGCGTCTTCCAAGATATGTTGTCAGTTGGTCTTTGTTTTCTTTTGGTACGTGTTCGTGCCCGTATGTTCTTGCAACTCCAACATCAACTCTGAAACCCCATCAGTTTTATTCAGAAGCGCATGGGTTTCTGGTTCACCTCGGCTCAGACCCCTTCATGAAGGAAAGGACTATTCCTGGTCTCTGGGGTAATGGGCTCTCTGGGTGCTGGCAACTTAGTTCAAGTTACAAAGATGGCAGCAGTAGGAGCAGCAATGCTGCCCCTAAACCTAAACCCTCAACCCTAAACAAAGATGGCAGCAGTGGGAGCAGCAATGCTGCCCCGAAGCTACGTTGAAGTGTCTTTCAACCCCATCTCCAACCATGGCAAGTTGATGCTGTTGTGCATCCGGCGATGATGGTCATTGCGGAATGCACAGATACCCTTTCAATGCATCAAAGTGTCTGTACGTGTTCAGGATAGCATCGGCAATGACAGCGGCGCAATACTGGCAACACTCACAGTACCATGAAGAAGAGGAAGAAAATTGAGAACGGAAGCCCTGCAAACAAAAAAACTATCATAGGACAGCATGAGCCATTGGCGTCAAGCTAGTTGGAATAACAAGGCAGTGCAGGAGACAAATGAAGCAGAAACTGCAACAGCCAAGACATGATTAACTAAATTCGTTTGGCGGGCGAAAACACCAATCACATTCAGTACAAATCCTTGATGTGCTGTTTTGCAGAACGACCGCGAATCGCCAGTAGCCTGATAACCCAATAAAAACTCGACCCTGGAAAAGCCCACGATGTGGCCACAATTCTACTGGTTCTCACCAGACGCTCCATAGCTAACGTAGTTTCTACGTTCTTTCCATAAAAAAATTTGAAAAGTATTCCGCACGAAATTAACATTGTTTGTTTAGGAAAGTCGTTTTAGCAAGTCGTGCGCAAAGTAAAGAAACGTGTGCGATGTCCCTCTCCATCCAGTGGATTTCGGACTTCCACACGATCCATAGCTAACGCAGTTTCTACGTGTTGTTCACAGAACTTGTCAATCAATATTCCGCACGAAAACTGGACATTGTTTGTTTAGAAACGTGGTTTCAGCAAGTCGTGCGCAAAGGCTAAGAGACATGCCCGACAAACACTAGAACAACCTGAAAGTGAGGGACCTTAAACAACATCGACCTTGAGCAGCAGGACCCTCATGATAAAGGAGCCCGAGATGCGGAATAATGTCAATAAAGCCCCAGATAAACAGAACCCTAAACCCTAAGCCCTAAACCCTAAACCCTAACATCCAGTCAAGTCTCTGTGCTCCAGGGGCTCTGCTTGATGAGATGGCAGCGCACAAAGGCCACCCATGCCCTGATACTACAGGGGCCTAAGTAATTACCAATACTATTGTGGGGGTTCCTAATTATAAGTTTGGTACAATTGGCCCCCAAAACCCTATCTAATTATTGAGGCCCCTAAATTCATTGAGTTTGTGGTTTTAGGGTTTAGGGTCCCCACAGCATTCCTTTCTGCAGGGGGTATAGGGTTTAGGTTGTCTAGGGTATAGGGTTTAGGGTTTAGGATTTAGGGTTTATGCATTTGGCTTCCATATTTCCTGAAACCCCCATGCAGTTGTCGATGATGATCAGAGAGTTCAATAGCACAACATTAAATAGTAGGCATCACCATCATCAACATCGTTATCATGCACCCGTACTAAGCCCTATACCCCAAACCCTGAGCCCTTATTGGATTGTGGTGGCCATCGTGACCACAGGACTCGGATCTTATCAAGTGCTTTAAGGACTTTAACAGACCCTGGCATCATCCTAGTCCTAGCAGCCCTCACATGGTGTTGCTACTAAGGCCCTCCCAGCCAGACATGCTACGAGAGCACCATCAACGTCGTCATTATCAGCACCGTCATCATCACCATCACATCACCATCCTCAGCCTTAATATGCTAAATCCACCTCAGCGCCACCAAACGCAGCAGCAGCATCTTCAGCGTCACCGAGGATGCTTGCTGTCTGATCACTACCCCACAACTCATATACTATTTACCAGCCACGACAGTATCCGCATGAGTGTGAACGGATGCTCCATGCACCCGAGCTCGGTGTCATACACGAATGTAGGAACCTAAACAGTAAAGCCCAAAACCCCACACCCTTCTAGTCCCCTTATATAGATGTTCAATGCGGTTCCCAAACCCTAAACCCTAAACCCTTATAGTTCAACGTAGGTCAGAGTAGAAAGGTTTAGGGTTTAGGGTTTTGTGACTCTGAGTGTCACAAAACCTGACACTGAAATTGCGCCAAGTATCAGGCAACCAGCCAGCATTGTCACAAACGCCAGCACAAACCTCATGGCAAACTCGGTTAAAAGAGCCGGAGGACCAAGCATGTCCAGGATGTAGGTGCAAGGGCGGCAAGCGTTACATGTAGGGTGCCGCATGCTAACATGCTCACGGGCTTCACCTGCATCGGGTCGAGAGTGGAGCGACCAAGGTGCTAGACCCACGATGTGGTTCAACGGAAGTCTTCGGGTGTTCAAGCCATAGACAACTTGTCGGGTACGGTCCCACGCTGGAATAAGTTCCCCAGACCCTCCAGATGCCAAAGTCTTATGCTGCACTTGGGCTGCACTGTAAAATTAAGCCTCTTACGTGGCTTGCAGGTGTCTGTGGCAGCAACGTTCGTGGTTCAGATTCTCCGTGCAGGGTTTAGGGTTCAGGGGTCAGCGGTTAAGGGTTGAGCCTCAACAAGTAAACCATTCTCTTGGTGCGGTAGCTTCCACATGAAATGGAAAAGGCTGCTGAACTTGCTTGCACAGACGCTGACAGACACGGGCATACACACAAACACAGAGAGAGAGAGAGAGCTCTCTCTCTCTCTCTCTATATATATATATATATATGCTAGCATATTAGCATTTAAGAATGTGTGTATATGTATGTGTGCATATATGTTTATGTGTATGTTCATATATATGTATATACATACATACATACATACATACATACATACATACATACATGCATATGTGTACATATATATATATATGTATATGTATATACATATGTATGCATATGTACCTTTGTATCCGTTTTAAGTGCTTCCTATCTCTCTCCAAATGCTCGCCATGAGCTGGTTGAGAGTCGCTTCTGTTTAGCATACGCATGGAATGACAAATCAGAGAATGATGCCTACAGCGATGTACACGTGTGGCGGCAGAGTTTCTCTGTGTGCGAGCCTTAAACCGTACAGCTAAGCCCTGCTTTGGCTTTGGTCGAAGAAACAGAAGCTGCTGGATGGTGGTATTCCCGCTGACCGTCGGTACGGAGCTGTACCTCAGATCCAACTAAACGGATCGCTGGTGTCCTTTGCAGCCAGGGTTTAATGGGGCTCAGATTTTGGCACAGGTTGTTCGGAGCCAAGGTTTTTGTTGTTAAGGGTTCTTTTCGTCGGCACGATCACTCGGCGTAAGGACCAAGGGTTCAGAAGTCAGGGTTTGGTCTGGGGTCAAGGTTGTGAACTTTGGTTCTATGATTGGGAGTGTCTGCGGCTGCATCGGAGTTTAAAAATGCTTGGTGGGGCCTAGTTGTGGTGGGGCTTCGGTCCAGAGCATAAGGCTTAGGGAGCAAGGAAAATGGGCCCTCTTGGGGGTATCATGACTTGCGCCCCTCAGAGCTGCAAGGACTGAACACCTGAATCCCCCTTGACTCCGAAACGCTGTGTGACCTTTTATGCCCCTACAAACCCCTAACGCCCTAAGACAAGCCAACCCTGAACCCGAAACCCTAAACCCCATACCCCAAAAAAGACAAACCCTATAAGACCATCTACACTACCCTCCACCCTAAATCCTGTCCAGTGGCAGGCCGACAACGGTGCATCCGACGACAAGAAGAGCAGCAGCTGTGCAATAAAGTTGCCTGCACTTGGGGGTTTTTCAAGCTTCTTGAAGGGGCTGAAAGTCACCTGACGCCAATCATACACTCTCACATCTTTCCGTATGATATGATACCATGTAATTCCGTTAAAAACAAGCTAACATCTGTATCTTGTTTCTATATTCTCCTCTTCAGCAATCAGGTCCAAAAACGTTCAAACTTCATAGGATAGACCTGATATATCAGGCCAAAAACTGTTTAAAAAAGTTCTCCCATTGGCTCACCCTAAACCCTAAACCCTAGCTACACTGAGTATAATCTCACACTAAAGGTTCGGATCTGAAGTCTTGGGGCTGTAGTCAGGAACTCTAGCGTTCTTGGTTCAGGGATTAAGGGTTTAGGGTTTAGGGGTTAGGGTTTAGGGTTTAGGGGTTTAGGGATTAGGGTTCATGGTTTGGGGTGAGGGTTTAGGGTTTCTGGTTTGGGGTTTGGGCAGAAGCCAAGTGGATTTGAGGGTGCGGTCCGGCTCAGGTCAGGTTTGGAGGGTTACGGGTTGGGGGCTTGGGGAGTAGGCTTTAAGGTTTCGGCCTTTCGGTGGCCATCTCAACCCAGACCACGGGGAGGATCCAAAACATGGATCCCTTAATAAGGGGGTTCCTATACAGTAGCCTTTAGTAGTTTGGGTCCCAAACTGGTGGATGTACGTTTTAGATCCTCCCGGGTGTCTGGAAAGTCCAGGTTTCAGAGAGAGTGTTGGGGGGTTCTGTTTCAGGATAGGCACGTAATATAGGGGCCTTAATAGTTGGAATAGGGCTTTAGGGTTTAGGGTTTAGGGGTTTAGGGTTTAGGGTTTAGGGTTTAGGGTTTAGGGTTTAGGGTTTAGGGGGCCCGTTATACTATGATTATAAGAGGAACCCCAAAATAATATTGGTAATTATTTAGCCCTTACATTAGGGCCTGGGGTTGGCAGTTGGTTGCGCGACCTGTCAACACGTTGCGAAGCGATACTGGAACCACAGGACTAAACCCTAAACCCTAAACCCTAAACCCTGGGCCCTAAACCCTAAACACACACTGGAGGGCAAAACTTGAATCGAAAGCCCTACTCTGCTAAGTCTCCATCGCACGGCAACCCCAACGTTCCGAAACCACTCTACTCAGGTTCCGGACGGCTCTAGCATGTCTGGACATGCTTCTCCGTGGTTTCGGATGGTTTTGTACACTAGCAAGCCCTCAACTCCAAAATGCGCCTAGGGCCTTGGGGGTTGCAGGACAGTCCGAGAAGGCATTCTGTCCATGTGCCTGAAAGACAACAGCAACCGAATGCTGCCCTCCGTGACAGGCGTGTCAGACTGCCTGGCCGGGCGCAGGCAAAGATAAAAGGGAGCCTTGCCTAAACCCTCAACCTGCGACAGCACCTCTATACTGACGTTGCGGATGTCGGGAAGGGAACCGACACAAATTTGCGGCTTCGGCTTTGGATTCCGGCTTTATTTGTCAAGAAGACAACAATGATGTTCGTTCGGACAGAACCAAGAACATGTCCGGTACACGTGGTATTCAGAAACTGACGTATCTTGATTTGGGTAGTAATATAGGGCCCTTGATAAAACAGAAACAGGGTGTTGCAGTATCTTCCACCATACGTGTAATAAGGAACCCTGGGAATGAGATTGGTAATGACTGACGCTGCTCTGAGGATAACCTCAAGGCCGGCCTCCCTAAACCCTAAACCCTAAACCCTAAACCCTAAACCCGAAACCCTAAACCCTAAACCCTAAACCCTAAACCCTAAACCCTACTCGAAGATGCCGGGCTTCTGCGCCCAGCGGATTTGGAGTTTGCAGTTTAGCTTCTATGCCATCGAAGAGCGGTGTGACAACTGAACCCTTGCTGAATAGTGCTGTGGCGCGTTTCAAGTCTGCAACTTATGCAAGGGTTGTAAAATGATTCTATGGCGAATCGTTCAGACTCCTACAGTAAACCCATAAAGCAATAAACCCTGAACCTTGAAGCTGTTTTCAAAAGCATCCGAGGAGGGAGCCTGGCTTGCTGACGATCCATGACGTGGATGGATAGCAGGGAATTCAGACCCAGTTAAATTCAGCAGGAGCCTGAACGGTGAGGTTTGAGATTTAGGGTTGACCCTAAACCCTAAACCCTAAACCCTATGAGTTCGGGGAGACCTTCAAACGACCGAGGGGTTCGAAGACTCGGGTTTAGGAAGGCAAGGCCTGGGGGAGGTTAGGGCTTAGGGCTTAGGGATTAGG